GGGGCAGCAAGGGGCATCCAGCTCCTCAGGCTGCAGCTGGTGTCCCGGGGCTGCGGGCCGGATGGCGAGGGAAGCCAGTGGGCCGGGGCTGGTGGACTGGGGAGGGTCGTTGCTGCAGAGGGCGGGGCACGTGCGTTTCCCCAAGCCCCTCGGGAGGCCTGTCTGCCCGGTTCTCTGAGCCCAGCCCCGAGGCCGCCCGCACACAGCCCCCTGCATGCTTGTGTGGTCGGCTCCGGCTTCCTCACAGCCAGAGGCCATCGTGGCTAAGCCCGTCACAGCGCAGAGGGAACAAACCAGAGCCCAGGCCAGAAGACTGTCACCAAGGGTGACAAACAACGGTTTTCAAGGGCCCAGGTGTCGAGGGCGACAGGGGGCAGTGAGGAGTGTGGTGACCTGAGCTCACACACCCTCGGGGTTGGGAGTTGGTGGCCGCTATTCAGTCCACAGGCCCAGCTTCGTCAGATCTTCGGATTTTGTAAGAGAAACCAGAAACCTAGGTTCTTTTAAGGTAAAACCTTCGGAAGTAATGTTTTTAACTATGCAGAATTACACAATTGCGTATTATTGTTATTATTTTGACATGATGAGCCTCTCCGAGCCAGACGTAGTCTGCATACCTCTGGTCTGGGACTTCCGGCTTGGAAGCCAGCACTGTGGGCCACAGAGCCGGATGATGTGGGTTTCTCCGATCTGACCACGACTAACTGGCCTTGCCCGCACCTTCCCTGTGTGGCCGGCCGGTCAGGACCTCTCATCGAGCACTAGAAACCTGGTCGGGAACAGCTGGGTCTGATTAGGCAGCCAGGATTAAGTGCAGCTTTAAAAAGATGGGGCATTTTCCTCTCCATCAACAGCTCATTAAGCGCCTTGCTTTGACAGCTGGAGTGTTCCCAAGGCTGGCCGAAGCCAGAGTTTTTTCCTCCAGAGCCATCTAGGACTCGGTGGCGGGGTTCTCCGTGACCTGGGACGCGAGGGCAGCAGAGGGCTGAGGCGTGAACTCCTGGGGTGTTTGGGCTGCCTTTCTCATGGAAAGGGCAGGCAGCCCCCCAGCCTCGTGTTGGAGCAGCCACTGCCGCCAGGGTCTGGGGGCCGTGTGCCTTTGCCACGACACTGCTTGACTGCCACCCCAACTGTCACCAACAGGAGTGTCTGGGTCGTCAGCCAGAGTGGGACAATCCAGGACCGGGGCCAGCAGGAGCCTCAGTAAGTTAGGTCAAGGTCATGAGCTGTCATGGGGTCCATTCTTAAGCCCCAGGAGACTGGAGACTTGGAATAGCTTTACGGTTTGTCTCAGCTGTGGGGGATTGCTGATTTTCTTTGCCGGGGGCTCCCCGGCGAAGGGGAAGGCCTTTTATTTGACCCTTTTGTTTTTTTCACACGGACGGATGAAAACAGCATGGCTGCCCTCCTGGCGGCTGGGGGAGGCGGCCGTGCCCCGCCGGGTCGCTGGGCAGCAGCAGGGACTGGCTGGTGACAGGACCACCGGGGGCCCGGTGGCTGAGGAGCTGAGCTCTCTGTTCTGGGGAGCAGGCTCTTTCATGTTTTTGTTTTGCTCTTTAAGCATTAAATTAAAAAAAAGAAAAAAAAAGCATTTACGATGGGTGCCGATTCAGGAGGATGACAGCTCTCGGAAACAGACAGAGCCGTCCCATCCTTGAGTTCTGTACCTGGGGGAGCCGAGGGAGCCGACACTCACTTGCCCCGTCGTTGGGGCTTAGGGGACATTTTCCCCGTGGTTTCCGTTTCCATTTTCCGTTTCTCGTTTCCGTTTTCTCATCGGTCACATCTTCTCACGACACAGGTATCGTTGTCCCCATTTGCAGCTGAGGAAACTGAGGCCAGGAGACATGAAGTAACCGGATTCAGGTCGCACAGCGGGGATGAGGGCGGAGTCGAGTTTGCACGTGCGTAGGGAGGGTTCCAACCCGTGGCCCCCCGCGTCCTGCGCTGTCTCCCCTCTTCCCGGTACCTGGCCTTCGACGTGGAGCCTCGTTTTGGATCAGAGGCCCACCCTTCGTCCCGGAATTATGGAATCATAATAAAAATATGCTGGGACCCAGGTATTTTCTTCTTCGTAAGCATTCCGGGTGCTCCTGATACACACCTCTGAGCTCATACTTCCGGTCCAGAAAGGACGCAAGCCCTGGGATCGGAATTTGGGGTGCGCGTCCTGCCCGGCGCCCCCTCTCACCGCTCACCCTCAGTGTGTCATCGTCAGCCGAGCTCTAAAACGGATTACCGTGGGAGGCTGTCCAGGCATCCCATGAAGTTCTGGACGTGCAGGTCCTTTGTAAATTCCAGAGATGCCACATGCACATTGACCGTCGTCCTTGCGGACACATCGAGATTCGTGCCCAGTCTTCCCTCCAGAATTACGTTAAGTTCAGGGTCAAGAGCCCGTAGTTGAAACTCTGCCAACCCGGCTTCTTCTTCCCGCACAGTTGTTTGTGGATGATTAAATTATCGCGAATTTGTTTCACTCGTAGTATAATAAATGTCATTAGCATGACTAATCACACACCTGATTATATAACCTGCTCTTCCTCCCCCTGTGTACTGTCTGCGTCCTGCACGCGATCAATCCAGTGTTGACGGGGAGCCTCGTTAGGGCCGACGCGTGGTGCGTGCGGGTGTTTGCTGGGCATGCGGCCTGGGTCCCCCACGATCGGCCACATGCCGGGGAAGCAGAGCTGCTCAGGCCTCCGCTCGTGTGGCTCGGCTCCCGAGCCCTGCCACGGCCATCGTCGTGCCGTTGCCGCTGTGACTGCCGTTTGCCGACGTCACGATGTGTCGGGCACCGCGCTGAGCCCTCTCGTGCCCGTTACGTTATTCACGGACGTATCGCTTTACCTATTCCTTACAGAAGCCTTAGGAGGTGGGTATGGCCATGATCATTTCCATTTTAAGGCAAAGAGCCCTTCGAGTCAGAGGAGCGAAGTCACTTGCCCACATCAACCGTTAGGAAGTGGCAGAGCCCAGGTCTGTGCCTGGCTCGAAGGCTGACGCTCTCACGGTTGAACCACACCGCCTTCCTTTGTGGACAGAACTTTAGCCAGACCCACCCCCTGCGAGATTCAGGCGGCTCAGGGGCTGAAGAGTGGTGGAGACAGGTGAGCCAACGTCATGAGGAGCTGGCAGGTGTGTTCCCCTGGTCCTTTGAGAGGTGCTGGGTGGCGACTTGTTGTTGGCGGTGGCCACGTGGCCACGGTGGAGGTGACTGACGAGAACAGGCCAGTATGTGCTGTGCGGAAGACGGGTCTTCATGAGCAGACCTCGGTTCCAGTCCCAGCTCTCCCTCCTGCGTCCTGCTTGCCCCTCAGACTTATCACCTCACCTGTGTGGACATCCGTTTTCTCATCACAGGGCTGTTCTGAGGATCAAATGAAATTAAGGTTGTGAACGCAATTTGTAAGCTGCGAGGTCATTTCCATATGCAAAGAACTGTTTTTAACTTTCATCGTCCCTGTCCTACTGAAGACGTAAAGCCTTGAGTTTTGTAAAGGTCGAGATTCACCTTCGAGCTAAGCAGGTGGGCATCTGGGTGGTAGGGGAGGTGGCCCAGGCCGCTGTGAGGGTGTCACTTCTGGAGAAGGTCTCACCCAAGGGCCCCTCCTCTCTGACCTCGTGAACGTGAATGTTCTGTGCTTCACAGAAAAGAGGCATTCTTGAGAGTACGTTTCTGTAAAGATAGTAAATACGAACTCCCCCTACCCCCAAATTTTAATACACAGTGATCAGAGCTGTTTTTCTGCCTAGCACGATACCTTCCAGTTCTGAAGACAACTCAATCAGACCAGCAGTGTGAGGTGAGCCACACTGGGTGACAAAGCTGTCCAGTACCTATGCGTTGTCCACTGTCCCGGCACAGCAACGCTTAAAGGAGCTGCTGGGTTTGGGCTGAAGGGCAGAGGGCAGGAAATCAAGGGACAGCTGTCCATGGTAGCGAGAGGTCTCCAGAGCTTGGCTGGGCCGGCGGGAGGAACCGCT